CAGTTTTTCCAGGGAGCATCCCCTGCTGTCTCTTGACACTCTCTGCAGTCTGAGCGAGAGCAATGTCAATCTGGCGCATGTGACTGCTCACTGTGTCATATTTCGTGTTGAGCTCAGTGAACATGTTGTCCATTCTTGTGTTGATATCAGAAGTAGCCTGGTTTAACGCCTTGGCCTGAATCTGTTGACTCTGGAGCAGTTGCTGCATCATGTTCCCTAAGGCTTTGATCTCACTCTGTCCACCCCCTGAATTAGCTGGAGCATCTTGCGGGTTGCTCTGCTGTTTTTGATGGCTCTGATTTTGGTTCTGGCTTTGAAATCGGTTATGAGCTTGGTTGAAAACAAAAGTCTTGCCTTGAAAACTCGAAGGGAAACCTCTCTGCTGCGGAGCACCTTGCTGCTGATTTCGCTGCATCTGATCCCCAGAATTCTCTGCGTTGCTCCTCTGGTAAGAGAGCGGGTTAGGGTTGCTCTGGTAGTTGGGATTCTGATAATAGTTCCGGTTCTGCACATACCCTTGACCATTGATGTACAGAACTTCCTGATGATCCTCTCCCTTTGTTCCCCCCTCAGAAGCAATATCATTCGCTATTTGCTCTGGTGTATCCTCCTCCATGTACATCACCTGCCCCTCATTGCTCTTCAGGAGCAGATCAACCTTGGCAGTGAGCTCATCTTTCCACTGAGCATCGACACTGTTCACCTTCTTGGAGCGATCTGTTTCTGGATTTTTGTTCGCAGAACTAGCAGCCATGTTCTCTATCAGCTCGTAGGCACCCTCGGTGGTCTGTGTCATGAAGTCTCCCCTGCTCGCAGCATTGAGAGCATTGCGGAACTCCCACTCAACACCATCATAGAATATACCCAGAACATGATCCTTGTCAAAACCGTGGTGTGGGCACTCCCTGAGAGAGTCATTGAAGCGCTCCCACGCATCGTTGAACGGCTCGTTCGCATGCTGCTTGAATGAAGAGATCTTGTTCCTGAGGGTTGCTGTTTTAGACTTGGTGTAGAAGTGTCCCAAGAAGGCTGATCTGACTTGCTCCCATGTAGTGAGAGAGCCTGTAGGGAGCGACTTGAGCCATCTTGACGCCTTGTCCGCTAGAGAGAACGGAAAGAGCATACACTTGATGTAATCAGGAGGTACACCATTAGCACGTGTGAAGCTACAAATCTCTTCAAAAGCTTCAATGTGATCCATCGGTATCTCAGCTGGGAGCCCATGGAACATCTTCCTCTGCACCAGATTGATCATAGCAGGCTTGATCTCAAAGTCTTGTCTGGCACAGGGTGGTGGAGCAATCGCGGAACGCGTAGCAGGGATGTTCCACGGCTGATTTCGCTCACCGATCTGAGCGGCTTGCTCCTGCTGATTGCGAGCAGCTTCTTGTGCGGCAATGGTCTGCTGCATCTGGAGCATTTGCTGTTGCATCAGAGCCAGTGCTGCAGTGAGATCATTATGGTCGCCGTGATCGCCCATTGTGGTGTGAGTCGGCCTCGGTTGTTGTCTGTTGGTTCTTTCTAATCTTGCTAACTCTTCGTTGGTGAGCGTGACTAATGGACTTGAGGTGTGGCTTCGAGTATTTCTACTGGTCATACACCTGGAACATCAGCTGCAAGCAAAGAAAAGATAGAGCAAGTTAGATGTTTTAGACTAGAAAAATTGCCAAAAAATAAAGGTAAAA